ACGCAAATGGAGGTTGTGGATGGCTGCAATGGCAAGGACAACTCTGATAGATGATATGCGGACAGTAGGTGCAAATATTTCGAGGAAATCAAAGCCAGGGCGCTGGTTATAACCTTTGGCCACATATCTGGCCTTGTAGCGCTCAACAGTGCCATCTGAGTTGCGCTTGATCTTGAAGACCCACTTGCCACCAATAGCCTTGACTCCAGGAGGTAGTTCCACTAGTGACCAAGTACCATTGCGCTCATGAGCTTGAAGCTCTTCCATGGCTGCCTCTCTCCATTTATCTGCATCAGGACGCTTCATTGCATCTGCAAATGACCTAGGCTCAGCAGAGTCTCCAAAGTGTGCTACTTCATCATCAACTGCCTCAGAATCACTGTCATCACTCTCAATGGCAGGAGTAGGTTGTCTGTGTTGAAGCCACCATGGTCTAGGTGGTCTCCTAGCCCTTACAGGGTGTCTCAGTGCAATAGGCAAGTCAGGAGAAGGTGAGCGATGAGGAGGGTGATTTGGAAGCTCAGGAGGTTGATTCACAGGTGGTTTTGCATCAAGGTCCAAATGAGGCCCATTGTCAGGCAATGGCTGAGGCTGCTGAAGTGCAGCTGGTGGGCCCATATCTCCCCCTGGACCTGGTGCAGGGACATCCTCAATCAGGCCCAATGGCATGGATAGCGAAGGTGGAGTGGGAGGTGGAGGTGGGACATTGTCAGAAGACCTCTTCAAGCCAGGGAAGTAGCGCTCATCAAAATCAGCTCTCTCAGAGATAACAGTGCGCTTGGTGGTAGGATTGTAGAATTTCCATCCCTTGTACCCCTCAGGGTAACCAATAAACACACATTTCTCCATATGAGAGCCAAAGACGCCTCTTTTGTCCTTTTGCACATGCACATAGGCAGTGCAGCCCCAAACGCGAAGGTGAGACATGTCAGGCTTGCATCCATACCACAACTCAAATGGAGTGGCATGGGCCACTGCATCAGTGGGACATCTGTTCCAGACATGCACCAAAGTGGACAGACATTCACCCCAGAAGTTGTTAGGCAATGCAGACTCTGATAACATGGCAGTAATACGCTCAGTCAGAAGTCTGTTTGCTCGCTCTGCCACACCATTCTGCTGAGGACGATTCCTGGTGGTATGCTGTCTGACAATCCCATGGTCATCTGTGAATTGCTCAAATTCCTTGGACATGTACTCTCCCCCTTTGTCATCGCGCAGAGCCTTGATTTTACGCTCCAATTGAGTCTCAGCATAAGCCTTGAATCTCTTGAAAGCATCAAAGACATCTGACTTGGCCTTGAGAGGCACAACAACACGGAATTGACTGTGATCGTCAATGAAGGTGACCCAGTAGCGATAACCAGAGAATGTGGGGGAAGAGACTTGGTGTACATCAGAATGGATGAGGTTCAAAGGATGAGCAGAGCGAGTATCAGATGAGGGGAATGGATTGGCATGCATCTTGCCAGACAAGCACGGTTCACAGACAGGATCAGGAGCAGCCTTGGATTCCAGTGTAAGCCCAGTGACCAGATCTCTCTGTATCAGTCTCTTGACATCAGCATGATGGTAGTGAGCCAATCTGCGATGCCAGAGCATCAAATCAAGTGGTATAGTCACAGTAAAATGTCCCAATTCAACACAAGCAGCAGTAGATTCATCAAGGAATGCTGCATTGTTGTCATTGATAGTTGCAGTGAACAAGAGAGTGTTGTCACGCATAAAGGACATGGAATGAGACGAAATAGTGACATTGAAACCACTTTGACGAGTTAAATACAAGACTGAGAGGAGATTATTTTGAAGATCTGGTACATGGAGCACTCTAGAGAATTCCACAGCCCTAGCCACTTTGCCATTCATCACAGGATTAAACACCACAGTACCAACACCAGCTGAATAGACAACAGTGTGATCAGCCAGCTTGATTGGTACATGATATGGGGTATAGTGGTGCACCCAATGACGATGAGGTGTCATATGAGAAGTGGCGCCTGTGTCTGCATTCCAATCAATGTCAGCATCAAGTTGGAGAGGGCAATGAGGATCAGAGGGATGAATGGAACGAAGACTTGCATTTCCAGCTGATTCAGTGACCACAGTAGATGAATTGGCATTTGTTGGGTGAAGATTTGGGCTGCTGAGAGGTATTCTGAGAGTTGCTGGAGCCTGCCTGAGCCTTATTGCCACGCTTGTAGCGATTCTTAGCACCCTCCACTGCCTGTTGGCGACTAGCAATGTATCTGTGGCATTTGTCTTGGGTATGACCAAGTAAACCACAGAAATCACACTGAACGCGAGTAGAGGTGGTGGATTGGTTGCAATGATGGCAGTTAGGATGGGTGCAGGTGCTATTGGCAGTGGTAGACGAAGAATGCAAGGCAGAATCGACTTCAGCATGACGACGGCGATTGACCTCTTCAGCAAGGAAAGCATCCCTGAGCTGGGTCTTGTCCAAGGTGCCCAGAAGTAGTAGAGATGAAGTGAAGTGGGCATATTGATCAGGAAGCGCCCTAATCATGGCCATGCATGTCAATTCATCGTCCAATTCAGAAAATGAGAAGCCAGTAGGACGAAGATTTTGAATCTGATGCATGCCTTCGTCAATTCTGGTCATGAGAGACTGCAGGGACTCGTCCTCCTTCTTTCTGATAGAGAAGAAGTCGTCATAGGCATTAAATCTCGTCCCAGGCTTCTTAGAGACGTGCACAATTGCCAGGATCATCAATGATGCCATCAAGATGAATGCGCTGCTCTTTGGTGACATTGAGGTATAATGCACCAGCAGCCTTTTCAGCTCTCAACTCCCATTTCTCTATTGCTTCAGTGTCAGTCCCAGGACACTTTTCAGCGCCAGAGACGAGCCTCCACAGTCCCTTGGTCATCAACCAAGCTTGCATTTCACCACTCCACTGGGGGTAGTTAGTGCCAGACAAGGGATGGAACTTGGGATCAGAGTCAGACATGATGGGTGTTGTATAAGACAATAGAGCAATGATAAATGATGTAGGAGACAGCTATAGGCGATGGAATAGTGGCAAAGACAATGGGCAACAGTAGGAGGCGAGCAGATAAGATGGTGAGGCGGTAGAGAGAGGATATGGAGAGGGTCAGAAAGCGCAAGGATAGGTCCAAATAGGGTCCAAAAGCAATCCAGGAGGGTGCTAAGGCTTCCTAGTGCTGCTACAGGGTTACGCCTGTGTTCCCCTTTCAATTCCACACTGATATTAAC